GTGACATGGCACCAGAGTTAACACTCCGGTGTGGGGTGAATTTCCCGCCAAAATATAAGATGGCTCTGTCTTTTGGTTTTGTTCCATCCACCAAAAGGGTGGATTACAAACAAATATTTGGTAATACGCAGTTACAATCGGCCCGAGTTTACACGTTTCCCGCACTCCACCGCAAATCTATATGAACCGAGTTAAAGACGGCTCCCGCGGAGTACGCGCAATTCACGCGAGCCGACTTAACTCGTTTCCCCCACTCCAAGTGTTAAGTTAGGGTTTTTCAAAATGCTGACACGCCGAGCTCAAAAGGTTCGCCATGACTGGTCTAGCCTGTTACAATATATGATGTTGCACCTTCTGTAATGTGAGGACACAGCAAGAAGGCGCTGGCTATGAATCAGGAAGAGGGCTCCCACCCACTGTGTTGGCACCCTGGTCTTGGACTACTAGCCTCCAGAACCATGAGAAATAAATTTCTGTTGTTTGTAAACCAAAAAAATTTAATTAATTAAAAAATATCTATAATGTCAAACTCCAGGTCCTATTAGCTGTGGATTGGATAAACTAGGTAGGTCCTATCTGGAAATGATTGACAACCCTGGCTCGGACGGACAATCTGAGTCACACAGGGGTGCTAGGTCTTGCCAGCAGCCTCGTCCTGCAGCCACCAACACAGCTCGGTCAGTTTTCCATCCTAACCCATCTCCTGCTCCTGTTCCCTGCAGCGCTGGCTGAATCCTTCCGGAAGCGTAATTTGAAGTGAGGTGCTTAACGTGGCGAATATTTTGCCCTCACAGCTCACAGAGAAGTCCCCCAGAAAAAGAAAGGGGGGGCCTGAAAAACATCCTGTCGTCCTCTGAACAGACACTTTACGAGACCCTTTGCCTGGGCAATCCTGGGAAACTTGGGAAACAATGGAGAGACCAGAAAATGACACTGAGAGAGAAGGCAAGGGCACCCGCTTCTCGCTGTTCCAACGTTTGGGAGCACATGCTCAAAGCAGCAAGCTTAGGACTGGGTGCCAGAAGCCACCCAGGAGACCCAAGGCCTCCCTGCCCACTCCCTTCTCTGTGCTCTCAGAAGCTCCTGGGAGTTAGCTCCTCCCTTGCAAATTGATCTGCCAATAAACTGGCAGAGAGAGGAGGGGGAGAGCCAGGCCTTGCCCTCAGGAACCACCCCCCTCACCCCATCCAGGGAGAGAGGAGGTGGAGCCCAGGACCTGACCCAAAGGTTTCCATCTGGCTAATGGTAAGGATTCCTGGGCTTTGCCTAAGGGGTCCCCAGGCTGGGAAGGGCAGACTCACCCTCAGGGCAGTGGGGACTGTGAGCTAGGGTCTGGGACTTAAACCCAGGGTGATGAAGGTCAGAGGTCAGCCAAGCTGGTGCCATCAGGAAAGGTACCCCGTAAAGGAGGCTGAGATGGGTAATCCCCAAGGCCATGCTTATTTGGGAGAATCAAAAGAAAAATTGGCCGTAACCGGTTTGGCTCAGTGGATAGAGCGTCGGCCTGCAGACTGAAAGGTCCCAGATTCGATTCCAGTCAAGGGCATGTACCTTGGTTGTGGCACATCCCCAGTAGGAGGTGTGCAGGAGGCAGCTGATCGATGTTTCTCTCTCATCGATGTTTCTAACTCTCTATCCCTCTCCCTTCCTCTCTGTGAAAAATCAATACAATATTAAAAAAAAATTGACAGTGTGGCTCAGTGATTGAGTGTTGACCTACGAACCAGGAGGTCACAGTTCCATTCCTGTTCAGGGCACATGCCTAGGTAGTGGGCTCAAACCCCAGTGGGGGGCGTGCAGGAGACAGCCAATCCATGATTCTTTCTCATCATTGATGTTTCTATCTTTCTCTCTGAAATCAATCCTATATAATAAAACCCTAATATGCGAACAACAGAACGACCGATCGCTATGATGCACACTGACCCCCAGGGGGCAGACACTCAATGCAGAAGCTGCCCCCTGGGTGGTCAGTGTGCTCCCACAGGGGGAGCACCGCTCAGCCAGAAGCCGGGCTCACAACTGGTGAGCGCAGGGGCGGGAGCCTCTCCTGCCTCCGCAGCAGCACTAAGGACCCCTTGGGGGTCTCAGACTGCGAGAGGGCGCAGGCTTGGCTGAGGGACCCCCCCCCCCTCCCAAGCACGAATGTCATGCCCCGGGCCCTTTGTAAAAAATATTTTTTTTTTTTTTAAAAAAAAAGAGCCGACTTCTGGGAGTCCGGCTTGTCTGACTTTTGGGATCTTGCCTCTCTCAAAAAAGGAAGGTAAGGAAAGGAAGGAAAAAAAAGGAAGGAAAGAAGGAAGGAAGGAAGGAAGGAAGGAGGAAGGAAGGGAAGAAGGAAGGAAGGAAGGAAGGAAGGGTAGTAAGAAAGGAAGGAAGTACGGAAGGAAGTAATGAAGGTAGGAAAAAAGCCGAGAGGGTCGGTGTCATGAATGTAAGAAAGTAGGAATGTAAGAATTAAGTAGCAATGTATGGAAGGAAAAAAG